TTTCAAAGTTGTAAATGTTTACTTTAAGGTATTGTTTTCCTCGCTCTTGTCTGGATAAATGTGATCTTCACGGTGAAAAGAATGACGACAAATACAACTTTCTTGTAATGTATTTCTTGTGGTTCAATTTTATCCTTGGTAAAAAATAAAATGTAAGCCAAGGATAAAATTTAACCACAACACTAAATTGAGCTTTTTCTCTTCTGGGTCATAAGTATCTGTTTCCTCACTACGATTTTTCCATTTGTCTTTTTTTACTGGTCTGGGTCTTTTTCGAGAACTGGCCACTGATTTCAATGGTATTTCAGACGTGGTTGTGCCGTTCAAAATACTAATACTTATTTAAACACTAATCTTGAGACTTGAGTTTTTACTGTTGCAAGATGGCTGCAGAATAACCCCAAAATCGTTCAGTGATCAGTTTGTGTACTTAAACGATTTTTAGAGAACTTATTTAGCTGAAAGTCAAGTCTATGCATTATTTGGAAGCGAGAGTACCATTTGCATTGGAAATTAAGCTAGGGGGGTAGGCAAGCAGACCTTGACCTATCTTTTGAGTCACGAGTGAGGGCTTTTCCTTTCAGAGGGCATGCAGCCGCAAGCTAATAAGAAACAACAGGTTATTTCCCTGTAAGTTAAATAGCAGTTCCTCGCAGAGCCATGATCTACAGTATAACATTCAGCGCCAAAGGAAGTATTTATTAGCAGCTTTTAATGAAATGCCTAAAATAACAAATAGATTCCTAAACTTGCAATTTATCATCAGTGACCAAGAAGACAGCCGCAAATCCAGTTCTAAGTCAGGAGATATATATTTAATTGTATGGATAATAAGTTCCTGATTTAAGAATATTTTAGTTTGGAATTAAATTAAATTAAGATCACAAGACAACGGAACCATGCAACATTAATGAACAACATACATATGTGTGTTTCCGTGGATCTTGCAGCGGATGGTTCACTATTTTATTGTTGCATATTTTAGAAACCCAAAATTGCAAGGAATCGTTTGGTTTGGTTTAATCTCAGAGATACTTAGCTATTTCTTCGCTTACCACGATACAATTATTCTCCATCGTGTCCTTTTTTAAGGCGGGGAAAAATTTTTATTTGCAAAACAAAATTTCGATAGAATTGAAACAATTCCTAGAGTCTGAAGCTTCTTTCTGGTTCAGTCTCCGTCCAATTTCTCTTCTGTCTACTATGAGTTTAAATTAACGGGCTTTTACATTACGTGGCAACTGATTCAAACCAGTGCTAAATTTAAACGAAAATTTACAGGTGCTTTTGAAAAGCGCAGCGTGGAAAAAGTTTTGAGAAAAGTAGGGGGTAACTTACTCTTTGGTGTTGTTTTGTGGAAAGCAACTCGAATTTCTTAATTAAAATTTTTTTGCCACCGCTAACAGTTCAATGTCTTTGTTTCTATAAAAGATGAAATTTGTTTGAAGTTCTTCTACGATAGGTCTTGGAATAAACCCGAGCAGACAAAAAATTCAATTTGTTCAGGTAAAATTCGTTTTTTTAAAAAACTATTTTGGTGAAGTGAAGGTCATTTCATTTAATGTTTCATATCAACTTTTTGAATTTCGAAGCCGTTTTTAAACGCATTATTATTACTTTTAACAAGCCTCACAGTGGGCCATTTCTATTGGACTATGTACCTTGTCTAAACTATAGACTATCACCTTAAAAAGTGGCTAAATTTCCTCAAGTTTCAAAATTTGCACTTAATATAACGCTTTTGCACTTAGCTTTTTGAGATAAATATATTGATCCACACCCCTTACCTTTTATCCTAAAAAAACCATGCTTTTCTCAAAGTTTCAAGAGGCAAAACAACGCTACAAAAGGTATTCTGGCCTTCCAAGATTCTCCTGCACACTGAAGCTCAAACGGACATCACGAACATCACAAACTATAGGTTTATCTCCCCGTTTGGATACGATACTTATTACAGTTTCAACTAGTAATAACATACAGTACTGCAAGAAAGTAAAATATTTTCATTTTATTTTGAGTCATTTCCTTAGCAACCTAATCGACGTCATAAAAAGGAATAAGCTGATATCAAGTTATTTTCAATTTAGATAAAATTGTAATAGATCGGTCTATTCTTGGTTCGCAACCACCTGGCATTGCAGCCATGTTGGAGGTCAATACACTAAAAATTATTTTAAAGAATTTGCATGAAAGTGGAGTTAAGCTCCCAGAGGATAGAAATGTTTAAATTATTCTTTCACCACAAACATGGCCGCCATGACGTCACGTGCAAACCAGCAAATCATTTTTTATCGCACTGAAGCTATAGTATAGTTGCCAATTGTCAAAACGAATAAAGTTTTAGCTTCATTTTTTATGTTCCCTTAGTTTATCTCCATTGAGGTTAGCCCTTTCTTCTCCAATAAGGTGGTGACCAAGGAAGAAATTCACAAAAACATTGAAGTTTCTCTCGGTAAAATCCCTGTAGAAAAATATTACCATGAAAACGTTCTGCCAAAAAGGTTTCATTTGAATGGTTACATGTTAGGACTTCATCCATAGACTTAAAAGTTGGAACTACACAACCCATGCGAAAGTATCGTTGAAGAGGTTTCATTTGAATGGTAACACGATAGTATTTCATCCGAAGATTAAAAGCTAGAGAGACAATTTCTCCATAACTTGGTCTAGGAGTTAACCCCTTCATGTAGCTTACCCTTAGAATATCCAATACATTGTCCAACAGACAGGTGATGAGAACAGGCAAATTTATCAAACAGAGGATGTTGATATAGCCCCAAATTCTCTTATTTAATATTCATAGAACTAGATAGAGAAGGGAAATGATGACGTCACAAAACTAAATTTGTGATTGGTTGGCATAAAACACGATGAAAATGTGGACTTGCCAAAAATCAGCCCGTCTGTTGGTGCAACTTGGTGAGGAGATATAAGTAACAGGGACCGCGCAGCAAGTTTTCGAGTGGGGGGGCTAAAGAAGAATGCGTGAAGGAAAATTTTTTTTTGGGGGGGGGGGGCGGGGGGGGGCATGCTTGTGGATTTCTATTCAATTTCTCTAAAGTGATGGAGAATGCGAACAACGATAAAACTATTGATTTTTTTCCACGTCTTCAGTGATGTTGCTATCGGGTCTGAAAATTGACCATCACTAAATTGAAATATCATAGATTGTTATGTTATACTACTGATATCAACCTTTAATTACTATAAATAAGCCAGAAATCCAACGATTTTGCTTGAGCTGCCTTGAACTCAAGGCTGTATAATTACTGAGCAATTATTGCACGAGGCTGAGTATGATATGAAGAGTTATGCAGATCGAGGGGGTTATCCTCCAAAGCCGAAGGCTTGAGCCCGGTGGATAACACCCTCCGAGATCTGTATATCTTCATATCATACGAAAGCCGAGTTCAATAATTGTTAAATTATTCATTCAAAATATTTACACGGCAAAACAAAACGGTAACTGAAAATAATTTAGTGAATGAAAATTCAATTATAGAACAGATTCAGAAAAAAAAAGCAAAAATTATGCAGAGTTTACTCACCAGATAAAGAAGGTTTTCCATTTTGTTTGGAAAAGTAATCAGAAATTTTAAGAGATCTCTTCTTGGCATTACTAGTGGTATGTGAAGTCTCGTCGTTCGTATTTATGTTGCCGTGTACCATGTGCACTTCTTTGTTCGTAATAACCGCCGGATTGAATGCTCCTTGATGACCAGAGCTATACACAATTCTGCGGTTTAAGTACTTTCGATGACAAAATGTTTTTATAACTGGGGTATCGGTCAAATCGAAGCTTCAACATGCCCCCCCCCCGGGCAACCCCCCGGGCATTTGACTTTTTTGAAAATTATTGTTCAAATTCCCCCCTACCCGGGCCAAAATACCGTTCAAATGCCCCACACTAGGGTCCATTCAGGTGATCAAATGCCCCCACCCCGGGGACATTTCACAGGCACAAAAATGACGGAAGGAAGGCGGAAACGCTTCAGTTGTCGAACAAAATCTTTATGAATATAACAAAAACTGAGAAACACTGTTAGCGTATTTACTACGAACAAAAGTCTCGTGCAAAGCGGCGGAAATTGCTGCTACAAGGTCACTGAATGGTCAGCTTTTCTTCGTCATGCAACATACAAAGCGTTATATAAAAAAAAGATCTCACCTATTGAGATTACTACATCACGACCATTTCACTGACATGCATCATCGCTCACCTTATTAATTAGTAGTTGTAAAGTAGTTGACCTGAGCTTTTTATTTTATTTTATTTTATGTTGTTGTATTGAATCGCTGGTATAGGTATTGTATTTCATTGTAAACACAACAATAAAATACTTTCACACATTCAAAGCCTGAATCCAATTTTAAAATTTTTAAAATTTAAATACTTCAAATACGGCACAAAGCTTGTTTAAGCCCTTTCCTTGTAACCAATTGGCCAATTTTAACGTAACCAATTTTGCTATTTTTCACTCCGTTACTTTTGTTAAATTATTTTTTGTTAAATTTATTTTTATTCTTGCAAAAAAGTGGGGGGGCTAAAGCCCCCCCAGCCCCTCCCTCTGCGCGGTCCCTGAGTAACGTTATTCGCGAACATAAATTCTTCTAAAATAGGATTGGATCGTTAACGTTATGATCCAAGCCCGCAATTTTAAAAGGATTTGTGTGGAGTCATCGGAGCAAACAGGTCCAAATCAACCTGAACAACATGAATCTCCAGGCCTTGAGGCGAGCTCTACATTCGCACATAATATTAGATCTTGCATGGCTCTTGATCTTGAACCCTATCACGATACAAGGTCATACAACAATTTCAATTTAAAAATTTCACCGCGGTGTAAGAGAAGGTAACGCTTTGTATAGTTCCCCATCGATTGATAGAGAAATTTTTCTGAATAGAAAAACGAAAACGCTAAAGACGTCAAGTTCACGTCACCCGATGTCACGCTGTAACGGCATACAAGTCCGTAACACGCGCTAATTAACATACATGCATGCCTCATTCATTTACTTCGATAAGTCTTCTTGTGAGTCGCTGCGTCATGTCTGATCAGCAAAACTGCCAACAGGAACACGACTCTTCATCGCCAGTGTCGTGCTCAAAAACACTCCGAAAAGTTTGCCTTGTATTGATATTAATCCCTGTCTTAATTGTCGTGGTCTTCATTGCCGTGTGGAGGCCAATCTTCGTCACGTATTTCTACAGGTTTACGAAGCTCATTGTATTGTGTGTAGTACGCGATAATCAGCGAATTTTGGACAATGAACTAGAGGCTGTTAACAAAGAATGGAGAATGTATCGACTGGAGAGTCGTTTTGGTCAGGATTGGTGCAAAGAGTATGCTGAATCACGGAGCAATGTAACATGGCTAACCGCCTTAGTGAACGATAAATTAATCTTCGCTTCACTGGTTCTTGGTCATTCAATACGAACATTCTCTTGTCAGAAAAACATGATTGCGTTGATTTCAGATCAAGTAAGCAAAAAAATGGTGAAAGCTCTTGAACGTGTTGGCTGGGAGACTCGGGTTGTGGAAGAACTAGACTGTGAGTGGATGGAAGCGACGTTAGGAGGCGAGAGAAACTTCGACTTTTTTAGGAAGAGCAGAATAAAGGGAACACACACCAGATTTCATGCATGGAAATACACGGAATTTTCAAAAATCATTTACACCGATGCTGATTACATGTTGATGACAAACGTAGACGAACTGTTTGATCTTGGAGACGACTTTGCAGCCGTCCCTTGTGGTAGACCCGGCGTTGTCGATCCGTTTTTCAATGCGGGATTTCTCGTGTTTAGGCCCAATATGAAACACCACGAAGAAATGATGAAACTCTGGCGTGAACTCACAGCGAAAGACACGTGCCCTCACGACCAGGATCTGCTGAACATGTACTATTCTAACAAGTGGAAAGAACTTCCCTACACTTACAACATCAGGCGTCATATTTATAGACCCATGAAGTCATTTCACTTCGCCTGTTGTTATCCACCCAAGCCATGGTCTGCCGAATGTCGACCAAACAGGGAGGAAGCTTATAACTTTAACTCCCCTATTTTAACCTTCGATGACATTGCAATGGTGTTCTGGAAGAACGCCTATGAGCTGCTACATAAATACGAACTTGAGGATTGGTGGAGATCTACAGAGTGGTTTCGTCCTTGGCAGGAGTTTGGAAATACAACGTATGCTGATTGCTTGAGCAATATATCTGTAAACCCTCAGCGGTAGGAAACCGCAACTTCTTGACTCCTCTACAAAGCTTTTATTTACTAATTTCACTCGAATAAAGGGGGAGGGTCGTACACACTGCACAGAATATCAGCGCATTCAGGAGATCGGAACCACAGCGAAGGAAGCCATATTATTTGTTATGCTTAGCGACCGCTCAAACATGTAAATGTCAAACCCTTTCATGTAAGATGACACGTGGCATGTTTTCTGTCTCACTGTGCTTTTTAGCAACACTGCAATGGGGCAAGGGGACTGCATTCTGCGTGCCCAAAAAATCAGAAGTGTTTCAAGTTATTTTGTCCAGAGTAGCAGCCCTCCCACCCACAAGTTCTTAGGGCTCTCACACCTCTTCCTGCTCAAGGAGTGGGCATGATCACAGGAAAAAATAACAGATTCCCAATATTGGATATTTTAGGATATTTGATGAATTCCCACAAAAATCCCAAATTTGGCAAAGTTAGACAAGTCCCCACAAGGGAATTCCCAACCAAATTCCCTGGTTGGGACTTGTCTCACTCTTCCAAATTTGGGATTTTTGTGGGTATTCTTTAAATACCCTAACATATCCAAAAATGGGAATCTGTTATTTTTTCTTGTGGATGATACCCACGAACGTCTGCGTGAGAGGGCCCAGTTAAGTTGTTCGAAAGGTTGATAATGCTATCTCTACCCAGTGGATAAAGCAATAATGCTTTTACCACTGGAGGGTGGTTTATCTGTTGAATAGCGGCTGCGCTATCTGACGCTTTAGCAACCGGGTGCAAGTGAAAAGTCACTCGCGAGAGACATGCGAGAGGAGATGCAATCGAACCGATTGAACGGATGGTAAGGGGAAAACATGCTTCGCCACATCCAGCACCCAAACGGCTTTTTCTGCCTTTTAAGCACAGGTTGTTATATTATGATTTGATTAATCAACCTATAATATCTTACTGATGCTGCCTAAGGTTATTTGATCTTATTTGGTTATGCTGTGAATTAAAGGAATCATTAAATAGACTTTTGAAGCTGTAAAAGAGGGCGGCTAGGGTTATTTCATCTTCCAATAATGATTTGCCATCTGTATAGTCTGCTACACAGCCGTTTTTAGTGTCGTCACGCAACACTCCCGCGAAGACGTTCTTAGGCGTTCGTCACACAATCACATACAATTCATACAAACCATACATACTCAATTTCTCATATTTGCATCTCATCAGGTACCTGAACACTGATTTGCATCTCATCAAAGATTTAACAAAAGAAGCTATTATATTTATGCTTCGTTCTTCTGTGTTTTCTTTTTTTATGTTTTTTTTTTTTAAGAAAAAGCGATCCTACGAGGGCCGGGCATTCCGAAATTGCAAATAAAAATTTGAGGACGCGTGGGGGGGGGGGGGGGGGGGGAAAAAAAAATTTACCACCACAAAAAAAATGTTGTTTTTTCCACGCGAAAAAAAACAGGCCAGCAGCAAAAACAAACAACCCGCTGAAGAAAAAAATTATAAAACCCTTTTTTAAAAAAAAAATTTTCCACATTTTCCTTTAAAAAAAAAACACAAAAAATAAGTCACGAGAAAATAAAAAACACAAAAGATATATCAACTTCTTTTTTTTTTCTTTTCTCTTTTGTCTTTTTCTTTCTTTTATTTATTTTATTCAAAAAAAAAAAACCACCACCAAGCAACAGAAAATTAAAAAAAAAAAAAAAAAAATTGTGGGGGGGTGTGGGTGGGGGGAGTTGAGAAACAAAATTTAGCCACAGCATAAAAATCGTGTTTTACTCACTCGGACAAACACAGGACAGCTAGCAATAGCAACAGTCTGCTGAAGTTAAAAATGTTAAATACCTTATTTATACACGAAATTTTCGCGAATTTCGCTATAAAAAAAATCGCGAAATTAGAGTGACGCGGAAATTAAGCAACTCACATGTCCATAATCAAGAAAGAACGAGTTTATTACCACTGAAACGTTTACAAATCACATATTTCACTTTTCTGATGAATTTCCAGTGTAAATGGATGTTGTGGTCAATTGACTCAAAAACAATAATTCACGTACAAGCATGAACTGCTTGTGGACATGGTGAGAACTGCTTGTTTTTTCTTAATTTTGACGCTTTTGTTCCTTTGATAATTAAAGTCGTTTTATTTATATGTTAAATAACATTGCCTATGAAATGTAAACATGTCTGAGAGAGTAATAACGACTCGAAGTAATCGAATGAAATTCAGGCTAGGTAGTTAACGGATATGAAAATCGTTCGTGAAGGGAATCATTTGTCAAGATACTTGGGTGACGGTAACGCAATCACACGTTCACGGTCGGGTGGATCACTAATTTTTTTTTCAACGATTTGTTTTTTTGTCAACGAGGGATCCACTGTAATTCAGGTTCGGCTGTTGTAGTCCCCCTGTCTAATAATTTTTATGTATTCATGTATAAACAGGGGCACCCAACGACGGTTTCCTCCTAAATGCATTGAATTTCAAATCTCTTATTGGCGCTATAAAATTTATTTCTGTTCGGTCATCCTCGGACAACTTGAATCTATTCGAAGTTACCAGGGCTTCGGAATTATTTTCCCGAAAATTTTAGATGCAATTTAAAGTTTTACGAAGGGGTGGATTTTTTATTTTCGAATCCGAACATTTCAGTGTGCAAAATAGCTTAGGCGGGGAAATATTTAACCTCAGAAAATCGTAGGGAATTTATTAGTTAAGCTTCGAAAATTATACAAGGTATAGAAAATTCTATGCAATTTTTGCTTTTCCGAACAGAAAACAGCCGTTGGTTGTCTTGGTTTTCCGGAGCCGAGTCTTGGTTTTCCCGCAACGCTCCTCCCCGGAGGAGCGTTGCGTGACGACACTAAAAACGGCTGTGTAAATGTAGCAGACTATAATTAATATCGCCCATCGAGAGTGCAACATGGCGAATCTAATAGAGTTGCGAACGATTTTTCTGTTGTCATTTATCCCTATCGCAATTTTCACGGTCATTATTTGTTCATGGAGGCCCATATTCATTGCGTATGGCTTTAGATACGTGAATATCGTCTTTTCAGAAATTGTACGTGATAAACAGAGGTTTATAGACAAAGAACTACAAACTGCTACAAACGAATGGAGGCTTTACCAGATGGAGAGTCTCTTTGGCCAAGAATGGTGCAAAGGAAACGCTGAACCAAGAAGCAATGTAACATGGCTAACAGCTTTGGTGAACGATAACTTAATTGTACCTTCACTGGTGCTAGGCCATTCAATTCGCACTTTTTCTTGTCAGCAAAACATGATTGCGTTAATTTCGGAGCGAGTCAGCCGAACAGCGGCGAAAGCACTACAACGTGTTGGCTGGGAGACTCGCGTAGTCGACGAACTAGATTGCAACTGGATGGATGCGGAATTAGGCGGTCAAGCAAACATGGATCTTTTTAAAAAGCAACGAATAAAGGGAACACACACCAGATTTCATGCCTGGAAATTCACGAATTATTCCAAAATTATTTACACCGATGCCGACTACATGTTAATGACAAATATTGATGAATTGTTTGACATTGAAGACGACTTTGCAGCTGTGCCTTGCGGAAGACCAGGGGTAATCGATCCATGCTTTAACGGAGGACTACTCGTGTTTAAACCCGATAAAAAATACTTCGATGAGATCATGAAACTTTGGTTTGAAATCACTGTGAAAGACACTTGCCCAAACGACCAAGATTTGCTCTCCTTTTATTTTATAGATGCCGGCAAATGGAATAAACTTCCGTACGCCTACAATATTAGACGAATCATTTACAGACCCATGAAGTCGTTCCACTTCGCCTGCTGCTATCCGCCAAAGCCGTGGACTGCAAAATGCAGGCCAAGCAGAGAAGAAGCGAAACTCTACAAGGGACCAATCTTAACTTTCGACGACATAGCCTTACTGTTTTGGAAGAATATTTATGAACTTCTGACGAAATACGAGCTCGAGGACTGGTGGAGATCTACGGAGTTTTTTAATCCTACGCAGGAATTTGGAAATATTTCTTACGCTCATTGCTCGAAGAGTATTTCTAGGCGTAAAAACAGCAGTAAAGGACAAGACTGAAATTTCGTGAATTTTCCGTACTGCAAGATGAGTTGTTTTGACCCTTTAACCCGTGGTTAAAAACATTAAATGTCTTCACAGATCGATTCACCACAGTGAATTCATAAAACGTGCAAAGTCTTGTATAATTCAGCCTTTAACTTCCAGAAATATAGGGCCAAATTTTCAAAGAAATGTCATCGCGACCGGCTTCGCAAACGAAAAAGACTTTGACTCCGTCGCTAGCGAAATCCAGCCTTAATGAAAAATGTTTAAGTTTGTGAAAACGAAGTGATCAGCATGTCACGAACGTAGGACAAAAAAAAAACCGATTCCCCGACAGGATTCGAACCTATCAGCCTCCCCAACACCAGGCGGTCGCTCTATCCACTTGAGCTACGGAGAACTCATAGGTTCATATTTGACACGTGTCCTGCATACTCGCACTGTATGGAGAAAGAATGAAAGATGGTAAATTTTAAGCTCGGTGAAACAAATGTGAAAACGAAATGATCAGTATGTCACGAGCATGGGACAAAGAAAAAATCTGAGTCGGTGTCAAGGGTTCGAATCCTGTCGGGAACTCTGCTTTTTCTTTGTTCCACTTTTCATTTTTATCTAATAAAACTATGGTAGCAATTTTTCCAAATGTTTGTCTATGGCGACGTAGTTATGCTCAAAATTGGGAGGTATTGACCCTGAAAAACTGTTACAGTATCGAGCCACCTTCATATGCCAGTACAGTATCGTATAGCCCTCGTTTCTTTTCTACTGTTTCGTAAAAATTTAGGCAACTTGCGAGAATTTTTTGGGGCAAATGGTTTACCCCCACCCCGGCAAGAAATTGCCTGTACGCCTTTGCATCTTTTCCCCTCCCCCTCCCCCTTCATTCCTTTTTTTGCTCTCGTTCCAGTTTTCTCGACGAACTCGCGCGGAACCGCTTGCTACGCAGGCTATAAAAATTATCATACATTACCATATCCAAATATGATATGAACCACCACACATATATTGGCAACTTTCCCAGTATTTGAAACAGTTTTCCAGTTACCCTTTCCTCAACCCAACATACTAGCGAGTATACGCAAAAGGACAGCTGGAAGAAGAGAAATTCCTGAAGAGGAGGACAGCAAAACACGTATGTGACAAACGTGACAGGGTTATTGCTAGCGTGTTTTGTCATAGTTCGGCGAAATTGTATTTCAAACAAAATTCTTGTTACTCTTGTTACACAAGGTTTGCCGTCGTCCTGTAGACTACGAGTAGTCCCTCATTTTCCCACAGTGACAATGTACCCGTTTATACACATGAGTAAAGTGAAGTTTTTGCCCAAGAAAAGTAAAGGAGTTTTTAAATAGTAAAGTTTTTAACGAAGAAACACGCCAGAAGCCAAAATAGGCATCTAAAAGTTCATAACCAGGGTCCATTTTATTACAATTCTTTTAGCCTACAGGTAAATTGTGATTATAGCTAAGCCAAAGCCAGCGGACTCGTAACCCTAGCCTTTCTTCCCCTTTTTATATAATGACTTGTGATAAGTTAAAGTATAATTATAATGATTTTGATTGTGACACACCCTTTAGCCACAGGTCACCCAAGCTCACCAGTATTGTATTGAATGGGTTGAAGTTTCGATCCAAAAAATTGTAAGAAACACTGAATAAAAATCTATGACACCTACCTGGCGTTTAGCTGTCTTTGTCCTCAATGCTCAAAGGTAGTTTCAGGAAATCAGCTAAAATCCTCCCTCCATTCAAGAAAAAAGATTATGAAGCTCGATCGCTAGCCGCCATATCACATGGACTCGCTTTCCAACACGACGTTTTTCACAAAATTCAAACCTCAACGGTACATTAAAACGCCGAGATCGTGGAAACAGAACTGTCTCAAATATTCAAACCATGAAGCTTCCCCAAGATAGCGAAACAAACCCAGCAAATTTCGTGAAACCGGAAGAGAGAAGAGGCTCCAAAAATGGCCGTTACAAATCTATCAAATCTGCCCAGACCAACGCGCGGCCAAGCATATATATGAGGCCTGGGTACCGGACAAAATCACACTCGCCCGGGGAAGACTTAGAAGGCAAACCAAGGCTCTCCCCGAGTGGGTAAGATTTTTGATGACCTCCGACTTGCAATCAAAGACGTAATGCAGAGTAAGTGTCATAGTTTTTTTATTCAGTATTTCTTTCAAATTTTCGGATCGGAAAAAAACCCATTCAAAGCCCCCGTGAGGGTGGGTAGTCAACAAAGTGTCATACAGGGAGGCTCCGCCCCGAGGTCCAACCCCTTTAACATCCTTTGACAGAAAAGCGGTACCTCTTTCGTGTACCTTTTATTGACAAATGGTACCCATATCACATAACTAGGTCAGAACATTGCATCGCTTTAAACTTATGCTAATGCTCTGTCTAACTCTTTAAAAAATGAATAAATCGCAAAACCAGTGCTTTTTCTCGACTTTTTCACAACTATAAAATGCATCTGTTGGCCCTTTTGAGCCTTTTAACTGACGGAAATTACAGATTTCCGTACCCTTTCATACATTTCAACTGGTGAAATCCCCACCCTTTCGCATACCTGAAGCCTGTAAAAGGTAACCCATAAAGGCGCAGCCTCCAAGTATAGGCCCTTATAGACAGTACCCCCACCCCCTTCTAAGATACAAGAAGTGTATGCAGGCACTATCGTCACCTATACTGAGCCTATGCCGCCTTGGTTTTAGCTAGAAAAATACTCACAGCATATAACAATCTACCCTGCTCACAGACCCTCTTTTCTCTTTAACCCTTTAAGCCCCAAGATCGACACACAAATTCTCCAGACCGATCTCCATACCCTTCCTTTAAGAATAGTTGAGAGAATTTAGGTTAACATCCAAGCATTCTCCCTTTGGTAATCAGTTTAGTAATTCTCATAACCTTTACTCTTGATGATCTGCTGATGATGTTAGGAGAAAATTCATGTTGGTTTCTCTTGGGATCTAAAGGGTTAAAGTCCCAGTGGCGGATCCAGACCTTCAGATAAGGGGGGGCCCCGGTCATCCAGACCCTGAGATAAGGGAGGGGGCAGACTCAAACAAAATTTTTTTCGGCCCTTAGGGCCTCAGTTTGGTCTTAAAATAAGCGGGGGCGGTCCCCCCCGGGACCCTCCCCTGGATCCACCACTAAGTCCGTCGAGGGCGCGTGATAAAAAATAAAAACCTCTCTAGCGCGCTCGCCGATATTTTCGAAAAGAACAAGAAGAAAAATAAAACAAGGTCTGTGTACAGGCTAACAACTGTCACTTAACAATAGCGCCATTAATAATTCTTCTTAGCCTCGAAACTAAGCATGAATTTTGATAATTAAAAACTGGCCTATTCCATTACTGACCACCCTGTAAGAATTTCATTTAAAAAAGGCAGCAAATAAGATATTCGTTTGGTACATTGCTTGATTCCCCGACGGCGCACGGCTTGTTTCTCTTTGTAAACTTGGGTGAGTTTGTTTAGAATTAAACTCCCCAAGAGCTCGCCTACATTAAACAAAGAGTCGCCCCAAGCAACAGAATCCAAGGCAGTCTTGGATTCTGGACTTCACGCCGTGGATTCCGGATTCAAGGTACTGGATTTTAGTCTTTGTCAGTGGAACTTGGTTTCCGGATTCCAATCGTTAGTAGGATTCCGAGCTGTATTCCGGATTCCAAAGCCAAGGATCCCGGATTCCACGAGCAAAATTTTATCGGATTCCAGAATCTGGATTCCCTTACGTAGGGCGAAAAGAGAGTGAGTGGAGATAAAAAATCTCGCTGAAGTTTCAAAGAACGCGAAGTCACTTTTTTAAGTGTCGTTTTCATCGCCCTCGCCGTCGTATGAAAAGTTTGATCAGAGAGGCTGAACGTCCGATGTTAAAATGTCTACAACTGGCTCCTGTAGTTTTTTCCTTTTCCCGTGTAAAAGTTAAATTTTTCCTAGCTTGCCTTCTCAAAATGGTAAACAAAGCAAATTACTATTTACATCTCCTTTGATAAATACAAAACACCTAACCTATTTGGAACTATGAGTACAAAATGTTACACTCCAGCGTTCAATAGGGAGCTTAAACAACTACGACGACGACCACAACGAACGACTTCAAAAAAAAACAACAGGTTTAATGATCAAAACAACAGCTCTGCACGTGCATCACGCTTTTTAGTACATTTCTTTGACGTCGACTACGACGTGAAACCTCCTAATTTGACGTTTTATGAAGGACGTGGGCATACGACGACGAATTTTCCTTCATCTTTTTGAACCTGATTAAAATCCTTAAGAATTCAACTCCAGGAAAAGTCGCCTGCATTTAAAATATTGAGCGGGTCCAAAGAGACGTGATTAAGTTTGAAAGAACGCAAATTCATTTTTTTTACCAACGTTCTCACTGCCGTCGTCGTCGTCCTTGCTTAAGGTCCCTAATGTAGTCTACGGTGTACAAGACTACACATAAATCGATCCTACTGATAAATAACTAGCTGGCAATATTCACGAATCGTCCACTTGAAATAAGCCATACGCGTCCATTTCCTCTAGCAACGGACAAATAATTGGCGATTCGACCTGTAAAATAAATAAATGCTTTTTACGGTTGACAGTTCAAGAAATGCAAAGGGCGTGAGGGTGAAAGACGGCAGAGGGAGTGAGATCACATTAATTCGCGTTAAGATTTCCTTACTTTTAAAATATATTGACAAGTACTTGGCTCCGACAACGAAAGAGCAACTTCTTGTAAATGCTGCGACTCCTTACACCTGCACAAAATGCAACAAACAGACATTATGAACTCATTTTAACAATCTTACCTCTTTCAATCCCAGAAATGGCCAATGTCAAAATTAAAGTTCATTTTGTATAATGCTGAAACAAACAACTAGCACCATGTGAAAGAGCTCCCAAAAAGGTTTCATTTGGATGGTCACACCATAGGATTTCGTGCACAGTATCAAAAGTTAGAACCACCTTGTACAATGTGCAACATAATAAACAGTACTACAGGAAAGTAC